CGCTGGTTAGAAAAATAAGCTGTGATAAAGCCAAGAAAGTAGTCAATTGTTCTTCTCTCTGTGATGTTCAAGTAAATAGAAATAAACACAGGCTGGCGTGAAAATGGTATTGCACATGCCTGTATTTGCTTGCTCGGTTGATTTCTGAGGTTGGGGTGACAAGGATAGGGTGCTGATTATTAGTCGTATCTGCTCCTTGTGCCTATCCACTTGTCCTTGATCAAGAGGAAAGTCTTGATCACTCTTGGCTCCTGTCTTCAGCTCCGATCCTAGCGATCACAGTCTGTGGGTGCTTCCGAAGGAAAGCACGCAGCCCCAGCCACTTCACAGGAGCTCCATGACAGACCTAAAGAATTCGGCAAGGGCAGGTGCTAGGTCCCTGTCTGGGTGAGGCGATGGAGCTCCAGAGCTCAGGGCCTCCAAAGGAAAATGCCCTTCTTCTAGAATGCGACTTACGTTCAGTATAGATTCTTACATTTTAGTTAATGTATGTTTTTGAGTTCCCCCTCTACGTGTGGGTGCATTGCAAAGCTCTGCACATGGTCACTTATTTTCTTGATCAAAACAAGTCACTTGTGCTTGGGTAGGTAATAAAAGATTGCTGAGGTCACATTTATAAGCCGAGTACCCTGTACCTCCGTGGGGGAGGAAAAGTATTAGATTAAAACAAATACATGAACATGCACATACAAACACTGTAATTGATGGGCAAAGAAAGAAGCAGCAGCTGTTGCCAACCCCGGACTCCCTGGCAGGTGAAGTGCACTGGGTGAGGCGCTTCCCAGGGTGCTGTTTTCCCAGGAGAGGCTGGCACACAGGATTTGTCGAGATTTTCTTCTAAGCACTTTCAATTTTATCTTATGGCATCTTTTCCCTTCCACTTCCTCTGACTCCCCAAACACCTGTCCCTACCCTGTGTTTCCAGTGCTACTTCACAGAGTAACTTAGTGGTCATGAAAGAAAAGACTTGTGCTTGACTCCTCTTTTCAACTGTCACAACCCATCAGCCAAGTCTCATCTGTGGCCACTCTAAAGCATCCCCTGGAGCGGTGCATTACTCCCAAACTCCGCTACCGCTGTCACCATCCCTGCCGTCGTTCCACCTCTCAGGATCTCCTGACTGAACTGCTCTCCTGGTTTCTCATCAGTCTCCTGGCTGCTGGTCCTCCCCACCCCCATCTCTCCTCCACACTGGCCTCCAGAAGCGTCCTTCCAATCTGCTGATGGTACTCCCAACCTCAAACCCTTCAGTGGTGCCCCTGCCTGAGGCTCAGGACTAGGACGGATGAGACACCTCTGTGCCCCCACCACTCTGAGCCTTACCCGAGCACTTTCTCACTGAGGCATCACGACCTGTTTCTGTTTTATCTTCAGTAGTTGACTAGGAGCCTCCTAGGGCTGAAATGGGATTTATTCCTCTCCGTTCCCCGGCGTCCAGCCCAGAGACTAGCATGGAAGACGCTCAATAGCGAATGTTCAGTAAGTCAAAGCAAGAACACAATGCACAGGCAGCAGGATACAGAAAGTGCCGGCCCCTGAACACAAACTGACTGGTCTGATCTGAAAAAACTTGCCCCATTCAGAAAGGCTCACGTGCCTAACAGATGTGCCCCAGGATCAGTTTGCAACAGGGGCCAAAGATTAGAGGCTCCGGGAGGTAGGTGTGGAGCCTTTGGAGACCTAGATAAAATTGGTACAATATGTTGCATCGGTAATAGGGTAAACAGTCTGTTTTAATAGCTGAACGAGATTCTGAGATTAGTTAGCCGGCAAGAAGACGTTTGCATTTCAAAATATATTCTGGTATACCTGCTGAAACAGAATAATTGTAGAGCTGAAATCTCTTTAGCTTCTAAGAGTTCATTTCTTTAAAAAGAAGCTTAACCCTGCTAGCCGAAACACGACCCTAACCGGGAGAGCTATCCTATCCAAGGGCAAGTGATTGGTGATTGGTGACCGCCATTAAGACAGGGACACTGCTTTTAACTTCCACAATCACAACAAAAGGCTCTCTGTGGGCTCCGCGTGCAGCCTCAATAAATACTCGCAATGATAAAATCCAGGTCCCCCAGAGCCAGAGGGCTCAGGGGCCATCCAAATGAACTCCATAACCTTATTAGGAAGAGGACTGAAAGAGAAAAGACCTCCAAAACAAAAAATGCACTTTGTTGCTTCAGTGAAAATTGCTACATTTATGGCCCTAAGAAGTTCTTTTGCAAGAATGCATAGTCCACTTAAAAATTGGTAGCAGCCTAAGGAGGTAATACACCATTTTTACTGATTTTCACTTTCCTCTACTTTAGTTCCTAAGGAAACTGCCCCATTCTAATAGAGGAACTAAAAAATTGTTCTAGGGCAGGTACAAAAGACAAGGAAAAAAATACCTTGCAGGTAAACTATGGTTCTTGATTTTAGGAATAAGGGTCAGATCTGGTGTGACTTTTGCATGAAAAAACCCCCAAAAAACCCATATGTCTGCTTTAAAAAAAAAAAAAAAAGTAAATCTGAAACATTTTAGACCTTTTAAAACAAGTCACACTTCCTTTGAGCAGTCTCCTGAAAAGCTAATTATCTTGGGCAATTACTAAGGTCCCATGAAATCTTCATGGATAAGACTTTCTTTCTTTCCTTTCTTTTTTGAGTTGGAGTCTCACTCTGTCACCCAGGCTGGAGTGCAGTGGCATGCTCACGGCCACCGCAGCCTAGGCTTGCTGGGCTTAGGCGATCCTTCCACCTCAGCCTTCCACGTAGCTGGAACTACAGACACACACCACCACACCCGGCTAATTTTTATGATTTATTGTAGAGATGAAGCCTCACTAAGTTGCCCAAGCTGGTCTTGAACCCCCGGGCTCAGTTAATTCTCTCACCTCAGCCTCCCAAAGTGCTGGGATTACAGGCTGAGCCACCACACCCGGCCTGAATAAGACCTTCTTCAGCATCAAAAGGTACAAACATGAAGTAGAAGCAAAGGAATTTATCAAATAATATGGGTATGTTAATTCCATATGATATACTGGCTTGCTTTATGTATGTGTGTATAATGAGTATAGAAACACAGAGGGAATCAGAGCTACTGTTCAGTAATACAGTAGGGCAACCACAGTTAACAATAATTTGCTATATAGTTCAAAATTGCTGGAGGAGAGGAAGTGGCATGTTTCCAACATAAAAAAAGCAGTGACTATTTAAGGTGATGAGTGTTCAAATTGCTCTGGTTTGATTGTTTTTTCCTGGTTTATTATGCATTGCATACATGTATCAAAATATCACATGAGCCCCTAAGATATGGGTAACTCTTAAGTCTCAAAAAATCCACTAACAATAACACTTCTACTTACTAAAGAAAGAATTTGGAGCCACTCTGAATGGCAGGTGGAAAACAGGGAAGTTTAAACAAAACAGGCCAGGCAAAAATCAAACACTTAGGAAAAAACCTCCAGGGCCTCATGGCCACTGGATCCTCTCCTGAATCTGCATGTCATCTCCTGCACAGAGCCTGGTAACAAAAGTCCTGACCCCTTACTCCTGAGACACCCGACTGACACAGCCAATAGGACAGGCTCATCAACATGTAGGTGACTGGCCTTGTCTGAGTCTAAATCTGTATCTGTGTCAAAGAATTCATTTCCACATTTGGGAATCGGTTAGGCACAGAAAACACAGCTAAAACTGTGGGTCAGAGACGAAGAAAGTAACGTTAGCTCTTCCTCAAAGAAATGTTTAACTTCTCAAGATGCCCCTTCTTTCAGGTTTGAATACCAATTTTGCTACTAGAAATTATGTTTCAGTGTATTTACTTTTAGAGCCCAAGTAAGACAGGAAATTGGGAGAGGGTTGGAATGAACCTATCCTAACCTATAATGTAGGTCTTAAGCCTCCTTTATGAATCCTGTATGTGGTCAGCCAGCCTATGACTGGATACCTCCAACAGTGAGAATCTCCTTCTTTTCCAGGGTGGTGAGCTTATACTGAGCAGTGTATTGAAAAGAACATGAGCTACGTGGTCAGACGGACCTAATCCCAATCTACGCTGTAGCACTTGCTGAGGGATCTTGGAAAAGATACTTAACTTCTGGGAGCCTCAACTTCCCCATTTGTAACAGCAAAGAAGAGCATAGGCTCTAGAGCCAGACTGCTTGGGCTCAAATCCCAGCCCTGCTCCATGGAGCTGTGAAATCCCAGGCTGTTTACTCAGCCTCTTGGTACCTTGGCCCTCTTCTTGGTAAAATGGATAAAAACATCATGCACCACGTAACGTTGTTTTGATGATTAAGTGAGGGTCTGTATGTAGTAAACTCTCAACAAATGTTGGTTTGTTAGAATCACTATTCAAATAAGGAGGAAGAGGAATACTGTGGTAAGGGTTACATGATTACTGACTGCATGTAGATGTTGTGGCCAGTGCCAGGCCCAGAAGATGATTATGCTATAATAACTACATCAGTTATTAACCGAACACCTGCTTGGACAACGCATGTTAGCTCCTTTAACCATGTTTAAAATCCTGCCAGAGAGGTGAGAAAATGGAACTATGGAGGGATGGTGTGACCTGCTCCAAATCTCGGAGCTGGAGAGTGGCCCAGCTGGGTGCAGAACCTGGAAGAGCTTGACTCCTCAGTCGGGGCTTCTGCTACTATGCTGCATTTTGCCCTCAACCAAACAGTGCTTCCTTATAGCGAGCCGCCCTCACTCTAGCACTTTCTTCTCGCCATTCTTTTCCACAGCAGTCAGGGCCACAGAGTGTCTTTGGCTTGCCTCCGCCACCACTTTCAGGTCTCCGGACTCCGGGGACCCTTGGCTGTGTGTGCTGACCCCCAATATCCACTTAGACCAAAGTTTGGCGGGTTATCCTCTGACTCCCGCTGGCTGAACCCGGTCCCTGCCTCTTTTGAGGAGGAAAACGGAATGCTCTCGGTTGTGGCCAGCTAAACAATGGCAAGGTCATTTTTAGCAGAAGAAAGTAAAACCGGGCTCTTAATTCCTAAGTTGGTGCTTACCTTTTTTCTTCTGGGATGTTCTCCAACAGCATTTGGAGGAAATCCTGGGATAAGAAAAAAGCAGACCATTCAAGACGTCCATCAGTAAATAACTCTGGCTGGAATCACGCCAGAGACTGAGTGCTCCCAGCTGCTGACAGCTCACCTGCGAGGGACGCTAGACCACTGCGGACTTGTTAGACTGTATGTCAATTTATGAATTTCCAGGGTTTCAATCTGATCATTTGTAGAGATTTATTCTGTAAAAACCATGGCAAATTGAAAAATGTAATGTCTGCTCTTCTGACCTAACCTCACAGCCAATTCTGTTTCGTGTTTAGCCATTTTCAAAAGTCTGTCCACTGTGTAAAGCATGATACCCTCTGCCTGCTGATGGCTGCCTTTTTCCCGAGCTTTCCTTGGATATCCTGCTACATCCTGGGCCATCTGAACTCTTAAAGGCTACCAATTAGGTTGCAACTTTTTTGCATTGCTCTATGGAACGATAAAAACAAAACTCAAGATGACAAATGTGCCCAGTTGAGGAACAGCAATGTCCCCAAGTCCAAGTGTGGCTCACGAGCCCCTGCCTCCACCCGCAGCCTCTGCTTGTGCCCCATGCAAATCTCAGTTGTTGGACAGTTGAGATGTTTACATGATAAATTTCTTAACCTAAAGATTATTTTGTAAATCTAATATATTAACAGCTTACTTTGTACATTACTTTTTCAATGGCTTCTTGACAGGATTTTTGATTCTTAAAAACTCAAGTACTGTAATTATAGCTTACACACACTCATACACACAACTTTTCTTTTACTATGGAAAACTTCAAGCACAATCAAAAGCAGACAAAAGAGTATAATTAACCTTCATGTTCCCATTAACTCACAGCCAATTCTGCCCTATCCAGGTCCCTGCCTGCTGTAGTACTTAGAAGCAAATCCCAAACACTATGTGATTAATAAAGGTTTTAGTAACTATCTCTGAAAGATAAGGGATTCTTACAACATAACCACAATACCATAAGATCTAAAAAAGTTCAAATTATGTTTAATTTGTGATTTGAATATCGTGACCCCTTTTCTCAGCGCATCTAATTCTGGAATCTTGATTTGGTCTTAACTAAGGTTGTCACATAAAATACAGAATGCCTAGTCAAACTGGTGGCGTAATTTACTTTAAAAAATTACTCACTGTTTATCTCAAATTTGAATTTAACTGTGATTTTCTGTTCTGTTTTTTATTTGCTAAATGGGTAGCTCTAGTGTCAATCTTTTGTCATTTGAAGGTTTGATAAGTTACATTTTGGACAAACATAGACCATGAAACAAGAACAATATTTAATTTTCTTGGAATTTGATGATCTTGAGCAACGAATAAGACCTATACTTGAAGTTTTTCTTTCAACAGATAGAAAATAGTCTTTTAAAATGGGTCCTTTAAAGGGTAAGCCCAGGTACGACAGATGAGAAGAACAGAAGCAAGCCTGCAAATACAGAGTCGACACAGGGCTCGGATGGGATGCTTTCAACTTGAGACTGTGAGTTAGGAGCAGCAGCATGGATCTTCATATTACAAAACAGATAGAATTACAGAAGAAGAGAAGCCTGCAAATAATTTGTATGACAAGGTGTTCTTCTTCTGTCATCACAGACGTATAGCTATCACTACACTAGTGAAGCCAGCCGTCCCCTTTCCATGTGTTTGTGGATGGTTATGGTCCTTTTCTCCAGAGGCAAAGTATCCCTATCAAGAACATTGATGAAAAATGTATTTCTCGCAACCTCTGTTCTCCTTCTAAGACTTTACTTGTTTATTGCTGTTTCCCCTAAAGTAACAATACAAATGATAAGAAAACACATGTTTAAAAAATGGACCAGGCAAAGAAAATGGAGGAGGGGACAAGCCCAAACTAACTAATGCCTCACAACCAAAATCCTTCCTTGACCCTGCAGTGACTATATAAGGAATAATACCAAAAGAAACAAGAATAGTATTCAGAATGCAAAGAATTAATTTTGCTTGAGGTTCTTAATGTTATTATTTGTATCATTTAAAAAGTTATTTTGCAAAAAAGTTGAATTAGAAATTCATTTATCCACAACCTAATATGTTAATAGATTATTTTTCAAATCCAATATATTGATAGATTACTTTGTACGTTATTTTCTCAATGGTTTGATAGGATTTCTGGTTCATAAAAACTCAAGTACTGTAATTGTAACTTCTTACCAATTTCACTTCATTATCTCCTGATAGCCTATACCAACTTATCCCATTTGGCCTGATAATTTATGCTCAATTATATGGGGGGGGAATCACATTAAGTCGGTGATACGGGGGAAGATTTAATTGCATGAGAAGCAGGAGATTCAGAGTTAACCTCAATTCTGCCCTTTTGCATTTTCCAATTATAACTGAATCCTTTTTTTTTGAGTTGGAGTCTCACACTGTCGCCCAGGCTGGAGTTCAGTGGCACCCTCACAGCCACCCCAGTGTCGACCTGCTGGGCTCTGGTGATCCTTCCGCCCCAGCCTTTCAAGTAGCCAGAACTATAGGCACGCACTACCAAGCCCGGCTAATTTTTGATTTGTTGTAGAGGCGAGGTCTTGCCAAGTTGCCTGGGTTGGTCTTGAACCAGGGGCTCAGGCAATCCACTCGCCTCGGCCTCCCAAAGTGCTGGGATGACAGGCTGAGCCACCAAGCCCAGTCTGGATCCTTCTTTTTATTTTTATTTTTTGAGTTGGAGTCTCACTCTGTCACCCAGACTAGAGTACAGTGGCATGCTCCCGGCCACCGCAGCCTCGCCATGCTGGGCTCCGGCGATCCTTCTGCCTCAACCTTCCCAGTAGCTGGAACTACAGGCGCGTGCTACCACGCCCGGCTAATTTTTTGATTTATCATAGAGATGAGGTCTGGCCACGTTGCCCAGGCGGGTCTCGAACCCGCGGGCTCAGGCAATCCACTCACCTCAGCCTCCCAAGGTGCAGGATTACAGGCTGAGCCACTGAGCCCGGCTTGGATCCTTCTTTACAGGGTTGCAAAGCACAAGGATCCAGAATCGGGCACGGAAACAGGACAAGTGCAGGAGAGCCCCAGGAAGCCTTGCTTCTGTTTCTAAGAGGTGGTTGTCCTGCCTTCTGCCCGGTCACCATTCTGGAGCATTTTCTTCTTCCTACTCAGAGCTAAGATTGCAGGCAACACAGCAGTTAGCGAAAGGCTGCCAGCCCGCACTGGGATGACAAGCCTAGCAGATCACAAAAACCTCACACCTTGGGCATCTCTAAGATTATGGGGGGGGGCTCCTGTGTTTCCACAGGCTACAGGATGTCTTTCTACAGTGCCATCTATTCTTCTGTTCTGTACTCCAACCAGTTCAAGGAGACACTCGGTCTCGCCCAGGAAGTTTCTGTGCCACCTATTGATGGAATCAACCCAAGTGGCCCTTCTTACCCTATTCATAGACTCAGTCTTTAACCTCGAAACACGACTTTTCCTGGTTCTTTTCACAAATTGGCAAATGCTCCTGGAGGGATCCTGGGACAGGAGCTTTTCCCCCCTCCCCACAATAGAATAAAATAAAAAGAAAAGTGTCTCATGATTATGTCTTCCTTTGTCACCTCTTAGAGCTTTCACCTGTCTTCACTCTTCCCTTTAGCACGTTGTCAGTTTTGTGAAGTCAACTTATAAATTTTATTTCAACGAGAGGACCTTTCCTTCATGGCTGATTCTAGGACTATTGAGAAAGTCAGCTAGCAACAAATAGGAGGGGTCTCAGTTTGTCACCTCTGCAGTATGTCTGAAAACAAATTAAAACCAAAGCCAAATATATATATATATACTGATTTTGAGAGAGGACTGAGAGGAACTTTTATCTAGATCCTTGGCAGTGGTTACAAGCCCACACTTCAGTTAGAAAACAATCCTTGAGAATATTTTTTTCTATTCTCCTAATAATCTGTATGCTAATCAGGTCAGTCCCAAACAGTTTGTTTTGATTAATACCTAACAACACTAAATTAAGCAGTTTAATTTTTTAAAAAAAACGAACGCTGATTGTGGCACATGAGTAATTTGGTGATTATTTTTTAGTTCTGGTGAAAGTATTCAACAAAAAGCAGGTGTGTGCAGATTCTACTGGATAAACTAATGCCACCCTGATAATTACACAGGACTAGCAATTTCTGTCAAACATTTTATGAATAATTAACATAGCCACGGGGAGGGGGAGGTAGGAGAGGAAAAATAAACAGGATTGGCAGCGTAAGAAATGAAAAGAAATGAAATTGTCAAGAAGACGTCACTGCTACACTCAAGATTTAGTTTTAGTGGGGAATGGAAAGACAATAATACTGAAATGCTGGACAGGTAGAGTGTTTGAAGAAAAAAGGATTAGCTGGGCTCGGTGGCTCAGCCTGTAATCCTGTGCCTTTGGGAGGCTGAGGTGAGTGGATTGCCTGAGCCCACGGGTTCAAGACCCGCCTGGGCAACTTGGTGAGACCTCATCTCGACAATAAATCAAAAAATGAGCCAGAGGTGGTAGCGCGCACCTGTAATTCCAGCTACTGGGAAGGCTGAGGCGGAAGGATCGCCAGAGCCCGGCAGGTCAAGGCTGCAGTGGCCGGGAGCGGCCACGGCACTCCAGTCTGGGCAACAGAGTGAGACTCCAACTCAAAAAAAAAAAAGAAAGAAAGAAAAGAGTCATGGTGTAAGAAAGCAAACTTGGGGCCGGGCTCTGTGGCTCAGCCTGTAATCCCGCGCCTTGGGAGGCTGAGGTGAGTGGACTGCCTGAGCCAGCAGGTTCGAGACCCACCTGGGCAACTTGGCGAGCCCTCATCTTTACAATAAATCAAAAAATCAGCCGGGCGTGGCAGCGCGCGCCTGTAGTTCCAGCTACTCGGAAGGCTGAGGCGGAAGGATCGCCGGAGCCCAGCAGGTCGAGGCTGCAGTGGCCGGGAGCGGCCACCGCACTCCAGTCTGGGCGACAGAGTGAGACTCCGACTGAAAAAAAAAAAAGAAAGAAAGAAAGAAAGAAAAAAGGATTAAGAAGTAAACTGAGAAA